GCTTGGGTGAAGACAGTGTGCTCATCCTCACCAAACTGGAGTACGTGTAACAATAGAGAGCCCCCCACCCCCAAAACAATTGGTGCTGACAGTTTTCCTGGGTGGGAGATAGTTGGAATGGAGCCATGTTCTGAGTTGTGACTATTTGGCTTCTGTAGTACTAAGGATGGGGAGAGAGGGCAGGGATGGTGAGGGAAACATGTATACAGGACAGACGCACATCTATGAGATTTCCAGAGTTTGGGCATCCACTAGAACACTCTTTAATTTTATCTATGGCCCAGCCAGCAACAAAGAGCAAGGTTGGAATGTTGGGTTGGGGATATTTCAATAAAACTCTGGAGTGAATAAATGTCTGGAATTATGAGTAGAGAAGGGACTACAGAGAAAAGGGGAGGCTAAGTAAGCTTGGGTGAAGACAGTGTGCTCATCCTCACCAAACTGGAGTAAGTGTAACAATAGAGACCCCTCCAATCAATTGGTGTTGATTGTACTTCTGGGTTAGAGAGAGTTGGAATGCAGCCATGTTCTGGGTTGTGATGTTGCCTATGAAGTGATCTTGGATAAACTTGTCCCCTATTCCCCATTCCTCACATGAGGACCTTTATCTACCTAGGAACTTTGCCCACCAAGGCCATTTCTTTTCCCCAAAACATTTACGGTAGTTCCTTTAAGGCTGAAAGGTCACACCACACCCTTCTGGATTGAATGGGTTCTTTCTCTTTTCTTCCTTTTAAATGTGTGTTGTTCTTTCTCTTCTTCCTTTTAAATTTTTTTAAAATTCTTTATTAGTTAAGGTATTACAAATTGAATGGGTTCTTTCTCTTCCTATCTTACTCAAGGTGTGTACTTTCTTACCACATCTGTACGGGATGTGGCCAATGGTTTGGTTTGGGCTAGGTAAGAGGGATGCTACTGAATCATTTACCAGAATCTCTAGTATATAACTGAAAAACTGGTGGGTCATTATCTCTATTTCTCAGTTCAGGGCAGATGTAACAAAGTGTCATGTTTGGAAAATCTAATTCACACCTAAGGATGCTTGTGTCACATCCCCATCTGTCCCCCAGTCTTGGCATGACATCTCTTAGTTGTAGATGTTCCCCTGCTGTTAAGTTCCTCTGTTTCTGACCAAATACTAGGAAGTAACACGAGCCTTAAATGAACAAAGCAGAAGATCTGGAGCATCCCAACCAGCCCTTCAGAGTCTGTCCAGAACTCAGGTATTGCAGTAACCTGCTGGGTCTCTGAGAGCCGTGTACCAGTGGAACTGTGGCAGGAATATTGACTGTGATACCAATGACTATACTATTCTCTCTGTATTCTCTATGCTCAATCCTTTGCCAGCACCTCTAGTGCCGGAGTCCATTCATTGTCTTCACTAGCTGAGTTTAGACAGAGACCCCCCAAAAGCTCTAGTAGCCCTTGAAAGTCCTAGTAAAGGTCAGGGCTTGAAAGTCCTAGCAAAGGTCAGGTCTGTGCACCACCCAGTTAATCTAGGAACCACTCAGTTAATTTAGGTAATAATAGTTGAAGCATCCCCACCTTCATTCCCTTAATTCCTTAGATACTTATGTAGATCCTTGTTGATTATTGTTAATCAGATACTCCCAGAAATCTATTGATGAGCTAATCAGATACTTTTGTCTATTCCTGGAAATTGTTTGCTGATCTGTGTCATTGAAACTTCCTTACCCTAAGGGCTACTCCAGATCAATAAAAGATTGGAGCAGCCTGAGCATGGGTGGAAGTCCCTCTCCTTGAGTTGGACTTGCCCGCCTGGTCCTCCAATATTGCAAAATTATCTCGTGTCTTTTTCTCTCATTTGTTGTGCGGCTCCTCTTTCAGATACCGAACCCTACTCCACGTGGGACTTGGAAGGAAACACACTCGACACTCTAGTATGTGATTGCAAAAGTAGACATCTTTTATGTTCCCTTGTCTCAGGTTCCTAAGCCTGGAAGACTGGACCTGTTACTGGAACATGTCAGTTTTCTGGCCCCTTTGGCATCATATGCTAATACTTAGGCTGTACAATTACAAGCATTTTAAATACCTACACGTAAGTACTGACTCATAAGTGGTACTTTAATTCCTGAGGAGATAATGGGGACCAGAATCAGTGAGATTAGCATTGGTTTGTGTCTATGACTTGGCCCCTTTCTGCCAGAAATGTCATCTTTGTCACAGTGTCACAGGAGCAGAAGTTCAGGCTTTTTTCTTGACCGCATAGAGAATATAATAGATAGAGGGAGAAAAGTCTTGTCTCAAGAGAGTCCACCCTGGGCTCTGCTGAGTGTCCCAGAGGAGAGGGTTTCAACTGACAAATTAGCTCCCTGCTGACTCATGTAGGGAGATGACCTAGCTATATTTAAGTAATTTGAGTCTGTCATTTGGGAGCTGTTCTTGTATGTGTGTGTGTGTGTGTGTGTGTGTGTGTGTGTGTGATTAGGTGTGTGTGTGTGTGTGTGTGTGTGTGTATTAACACAAGTACAGTGTGGGGGAACAAGGGAACTCGAAGGACATGAATGTGAATCTGTACTTTACTATGTTCCAGGACATATGTAATTTATATGTTATCTCATTGAATTCTCCACCTTCTGCATGGGCATCATCACTAATCATATTTTTATTTTATTTTTTTAAAATATATTTTATTTGGCTGCTAATCATATTTTTAAATGAAACAGACTCAGAGATATTGTCATGTGCTCAAGGTCACATGGTTACAGAAAGTGCACACACATGCACATGCACATGCATGCACACACATACACTGTGCATGCGCACACGCATGCACGCGCGCACACACACAGAACACATGCCTGCCAAACGCAAACAGTCCCTTATGCCACTCTAAGAAGTGGTGGAGCCATAGCTGGCAGATTTTAGCTCAGCAAAAAGTGTGTTTCTTGGAATGGCTGCTCAGGTAGCCCAGGAGCTTTCTCTCCAGACACCTGTTGCAACAGAGGCTGGAGAACCTCTTAGGGGCCTGAAAGTTTCTCATGGGTATGGGCATAAAATGACTTTTAAGACCCCTTGCAGTTCTGAGTCTGTTAGAAGAGACCTGACCTGGGAATTAGGAGCCCTGGGCTCCAGTTCCATTAGGTGGCTCAATTGCTAATTTTGGGGCCTCAGGATGCCACCAACTCTGGGATCAACTGGATCCCCAGCTCCTTTGCAAAGCTTGGAGAAGCGGGTAGAGATTGGGGATAGATTTTAAGACATTGAGTTAGAATGTTATGGACCTTGCTTTGATTATGGAAGCCTGCCCCCTTTGCCAAGCTGTGATTTTCTGTGGAATTATTTCTGATTTTGAGCATCCAACCTTCTTCCAGATGCCTTTGCAAACGAGCCCAGATGGCAAGGGACGGGGAGATGACCCATGAGCCCTCCTCAGGAGCAGCCCTGGGCCCTGCCATCCCTGCTGCTGTCACTCAGCATTAGTCTTGCTGGTCTTTGAGGGAGGTGGTATCTAGAGTTGAAAAAGCACCTGAGGATGGGCCAGGGCCAGACATGTCTGGTGTAGCATCTGAGCAGGGCTGTGCCAGTACCGAATGGCATTGGGCTCCTGGTGGTGGTAAATCACCCACCCGCCTGCGCCTTGGGAGCCAGAAGAAATGTCATCAGGAGCATAAGTGGCTGCATCTCCTCAGGAGGCTGCCCAGGTCAGAGCTGCTGGTGCTTCATCCTGGTCTTCTGAGCCCAGGGTTCTCTAGTGTTGCGGCCTTTATCACATACGGCCCTCTCTGAGTGCGTCACACCATGGTGTTGTCAAGTTCTTGGGCAATGTGGGTACATGTGAAGGAGGAAGAGGAAATTACATTCAGATAAAAGTCAACACTGTCAGTTTCACTTGTGTTCAGGTGTCAGAACCTGTATTATTACCAATACCTGGCACTTAGTAGGTGCACAATCAGCATTTGTTCATTGATTGATGGAAAAACTGTCCTTTCCAGTCCTACTGCAGAGAGCAGCTCTTTCTAACTCAAAAGGCAGGTAGAACCCATGGTGGCCAGCACACAGTCTGAGCCTTGAGGCCAGCAGTGAGGAACAGGCTGCAGGGGACTAAGGCGCCTGAATGACCAGCAGTCAGTGGACTCTGAGCACATGGTGGGGACACTGGGCTGAATGTGAGGGTGGAGCTGGCTCTGCCCAGTGTGAGGTGGGGCCAGATGTTCTGCAGACACCCTGCCTCTCTGTCCTCCAGGGCCCTGCATGGGGCCAACACAGTCCTGGTCCTCTAATCACCCTGTGCCAGGACATAAGCTGGGTGGCAACTCAGCGACCAGCCCTGCTGGAACCTGGGCACTCTGGGTGTCCTAGGTGGGAGGGATATGCAGAAGTGGGAGCTCAGACCAGTGTGATCAGTAGGGCACAGGGTTGGTGGACTCTGAGGATGCTCAGTGGTCAGCAGGGATGTGAAGAAGGGGCAGCCAGGAGACTGGAGGCCAAGCTAGGCCCTGAGCTCAGAGGAGGGCAGAAAAGGGCAGGGAGAGAAATTCAGCCCAGGAGGGAATGAGGAGCTTCTCAGGACTTCCCTCCCTCCTCCACCCCTGTCTCTCCTCACCAGCCCCCAGACCCCACCCCTGCCACCCCCTGGTTGCTGGAGAACAATGTCCTGCTCACCCTGTGTGGTGGGGCCTCCTGAGCTGCAGCCCAGGCTGTGCCTGCTTGTGTCCAGCACCCACATGCTAGTCCTTTCCTCTCAGCTCGTAACGCAGAGGAAGAAGTAAGAGCTTCACACTGAGCCCAGGACCTGAGGGATTCATGTTTTCTCCCAATGGTGCTCCTCTCTGCCCTGGCAGAAGGGCAGGCAGGTGTGGCCAAGAATGAGCTGGTAACAGCTTAGTATGGGTTTGAGAAGGTGATGGTGGGAGGGGAAGAGGAGGAAGCAGGACATAGCAGAATTGTGCCATTGCCTTCTGAGCACATGAGGGACAAAGAATAAACAAAAACCCAGCTCTTCCCTGCTAAGAGAAATTTATTTGGTTGCTGGCACCACCTCCCTCCCCACAGTGTGGTCCTGGATTAGCTCCAGAGAAGATCGTCTGGGTCCTGCGGTTGGAGGCTTTTCATGGTTTTCTTTATCCAGGGAAGGAAACTGGCAACTTTGGTGAAGACTCGTGGCGGTGTCCCATCTTCGGGTCCATAGGAGACAATGCCCTGGATCTCATTTCTACACAGGAGAGGCCCCCCGGAGTCCCCCTGTGGACAGAGAGAGGAAAGAACTGAGCCAGTTCTCCTGGCCCTTCCCTCCTTGCCACCCATGGCCCCCTCTCAGGGAAGGCTGATTTGCATGGTGTTCACTTGGGAGATAAGTGAGCAGGCAATCCCCATGGGCCCCTCAGCCTGGACATTGTCACTGCTTCACTTCATCCCAGATGGAAACTCCTTCTGCTCCCCCAGGTCCCTAATCCACTGAAGGTGCTGCAGAACTGTGGCTGCAGCTACTGTGTAAGGACCCAAGAGCAGGCAGGTGGGGCTGACACTTAGCATGGAGAAGGAGCCCATTAACTAGCTCTGAGAACCCTCAGATACAACTACCGCTCACCCAGGAAACGGTTATCTAAGTTCTATGCCCTGGCCTTGGCCAGTGTTGCACATTCACCCTCTGGAGGAGCACCATGTTTGGAGTGACTATAGGCCCTCGTAGGCTCTCAGAGACCCCTTTTCTCCCCGGTCTGACATTCCCCTTTTTCCTTCCTTGGGAGAAAGATCACGGACTAGAGGGTGAAGGAGTCTCCTGATGCCTCGGACCCCAGCTCCCAGTTCCTACCCAAATACCCCTCTCCCAGAGCCAAGGCAGTCAGATGCTCAGTATCACCTGGAAGAAAGCTTTATCTTCTGATGGGTCCCCCACACACAGTTGAATGGTCCTGTTGTAATAATGGCGTAAGTTATAATGGCTTTCACACTGCTCATCGTTCTGCAAGGTCAGCTGTACCTCCTGCAGAGTGTCTGGGTATTTGCCCCATGTGGTGACCATCCCCCAACCAGCCACAGTGCACTTCTGTCCAGGTTTCAACTTGTTCTTGCCCCTGGGCAGTCGGAGTGGCTTCACAGTATCAGTTTGCTTGATGTTTTTCTCCAGCTGATGGGGAAGAGGCAATGGAGCCCAGGTCAACTAGTGGTCTCTGAGCCAGGACATTGAGGGACATCTGAGTCTCAGGGACTGGTCAGGTGGCCGGGATGGGAAGGAAGGAAGGGAAGTGCTTCATTCGGTTGGAGGGGAAACGATGTGGGCTCATGAGAGCAAGAGCAGCAGGAGGTTTCCTTACCTGTAGTAACATGATGTCGTTGGAATAACTTTTTGAATTATAGTCTGGGTGGGGGAAGGCGTTTTTTACCAGCATGACCTGCCAGGTTTTCTCCTCCTTCTCCTTTTTAATGTTATGGGCCCCCAGGGTGACATTGATTAACCTGCACAAAGAGCAGATTGGGTGAATGGTGGGGAGATAGAGTCACAGGAGATATAGCTCAGGAGCTGTGAAGGGCAGGTCATAGCTGGGGCGGGGGAGGGCTGCAGACTGGGAAAATCGAGGCAACAGGGGAAAGGGGCCGAGTGACTCTACTTCTCAATGACACTGAGGTTAGGGAGCTGGGAGCTTTCTGGCCCTCAGGAAATGCCATGAATTGCTTGCGTTTTCATTTTGACCCTAATGCATGTGTTCAGGGTCCAGCGCTGCATTATTTGCCGAGTGTGGTCTTCCTCTTCCTATGTTACTTGTCACCTCGGACCCTCGGAGCCCAGAGATTACTTGTCCTATTTCCCAGCCTCCCATTGCTCTGTCATGATCTCTGATGGGGCCTCTGATGAAGTCTCATGGGCTTGAGTTATCCGGAGCCTGGGGAGCTGCCCTGGGCTTCAGCTCCTGGGATGGAGGACAGGGTCCCTGTAGGGGTTTCTGGAGGTATATCCTGGCTGCAGACCCTTACCTTCCATTGCAGTGAGCAGCTGTCAGAACATAGTTCTTTTCCACAAGGACACCGCCACACAGGAACTCCTTCTTATCTTTAATGCGAAGAAAGGCCATGTAGGGGCGGGAGTGGAACTTGGCTTCATGTCCCCTGAGA